ACCGATTGGTGATGAAATGGATAGGGAGTGAAACACCAATCGAACGCCTCCGGTTTTTGCTCGAATATAGCAGGCAGGGGACTAAACGCAGGTGGACTGAGGAGATGAACCCCATTCCTCCGCTATGCTAGGTCTATAGTTACCCCCTGTACCCTCGCAGGTGAATCCATACATATGTACGTGTGTGGAGGGGCTACGGNACTTACAGTACTCGCGGCGGGGGTACTTTGATGTGGAGCGGTTCCTTCTTTTTCTCTAAAACGTAAAGTTCTCAAAAACGGTACTATCGAAAGCAAATGCTAACGAATGGTCCTTCGTGTAGTGTGACCAGGGAAGGTTAGGCAAATTCCTTAGAGTGATACTTCCATTCACCTTTTTTCAACACATCCTGAAAGTGGAGGCCTATAATAAGTTATCAATGCTTCTGTATCCAACACATTTTCAAAGGTGCAACTACTATTATGATTATCGCAATTAAGAGTTCTCAGTATTCAAGTGTTCATAGTCTTGTATGGAGTAGAGCTGGTCGATGTAGAAATAACTCGAGTGATTACCACAGAATATGTAACCATCATCAAAAATGAAGGTGACGGTGGCAACTCACGTCGCTACATGGCTTCGCCATCATGTTCTGATCATCATCCTTTTCGGGAGCTGCACCAGCAGCACCAACTGGTTGTTGATCGGACTTGCTGTCCTTGAGTGTATCAGATCCTGCTTTTTTTGTTTTTTCTTTTGATTTTCCAGTGCCTGCTCTTTTCGACTTTCCCGCAGCACCCTTCCCTTTTTTCTTGTGAACACACATTTCGTACAGGATCAAATCTGAAATATACGATACGCGGCAACCATGCATGATGGACACTGAAAGTGTAAAAAGTACACAACCGTCTCGTGTGTTCGGAATTCTAGAAATAACAGTTGTATCTCACCAGTCCAACAAATCTACTTCACGGAATGTTTTCTTTCACGAAAGGATCTTGAACCGATTGGTGATGAAATGGATAGGGAGTGAAACACCAATCGAACGCCACCGGTTTTTGCTCGAATATACATAGCAGGCAGGGGACTAAACGCAGGTGGATTGAGGAGATGAACCCCATTCCTCCGCTATGCTAGGTCTATAGTTACCCCCTGTACCCTCGCA